TAGTTCTGCACAGGCTGCATTCCATCTGTTGTTTTGGAGTTCCGCGAGTGCGTTCTTCAGAGCTAACGATGCTCTGTTTCGCGCAACTCTCGACTCCTCTGTCAACAGCTGGAGATGTTCTCGCTTGAGTCTTCTGTTCTCCCTGATCAGGTGCCTAATATGGTGCGGTGCTGGACCATTTAGGTATCTAGGAACTGCCGTAGTCTCGGAGCGGGTGCTGTCCTCGTGCGCTCGCAGGACAGCATTCTCCAGCTCCTCTACTGCGTTGTCCAGTTCCTCCGCTGATCGGATGGTTGGAATTTGAGTGATGTTCCTCTGGACGTTGGATTTGTAAAGGTTCCAGTTCGTCCGTTTGGTGCTCAAGCTATCTCGAGTTCTAGACCCTGTACCAAGTGTTAGTAGAATCGGATTGTGGTCCGACGATCCTTCCACCAGGGTCTCTATCTCGAACTCCTCTCTGATGTTGCGGAGGATGGCTATGTCCAGTACCGCAGGTCGCCCAAGGCCGAATGGAATGTAGGTTGGTTGCTCCGGACCGACGATGACCCCCGCCAGGGCATCGACGTGTTCCTGGAGCTGCCTTGCATTCCTGTCTTCGACGTTGTTGTTCCAAGCCGGAGACTTGCAGTTTAGATCTCCGATGACTATGCGTGCTCCTGGGCCTCTCAGGAGGTCAGCGATGTCATCTTCGTCTAGGGCCTCCCCTGGTGGCACATATAGGGAGGTGATTCTGTAGGGACGGTGGTTGTGATGGACCTGGACCGTGATTCCGTCCCCATTTATGTCTGCGGCATCGTCGAGGACATGACTCGTCAAGGTACGTTTGACGAGTAATGCGACTCCTCCACCTCTGCCCCTTCTGTCGTAGCGGTACGTCTCGTACCGCGGGAACGTCAGACTATGGGCAGCATCCAACTTCGTTTCTTGGATGGCCATCACCTCTGGTTGGTACTGGTCTAGTATCTCCTGGATTTCTGGTTTCCGTGCCCTGAAACCGTTGATGTTCCAGGAGATAATGCGTAGAGATTCTACGTTTTGACCTGTAGACATTTCGGGTCTAGTGCTTGTCTTGCATCTTGGCCTCGAGTGCATCCAGGCGGGTTATGATGGCTTGCATCATTGCTAGCAGTCTGTCATCGCCGTGTTGCTTCTGCGCAGTAGTTCCAGTAGCAGTGGCGGCTGCTGGGGCAGAAGTGGACATAGGCTTCTTCACTTTTTGGGCGTAAGAAGTCCTATTTGTGGTGGGGACTGCTTTGGGGGCAGAAGCAGCTTTCTTCGGCGCCTTACTACATCCCTTGTAGTTGGCGGGGTGGCCTTCTCCACAGAGGCAACACTTGGCGTTTCGTTGCCCTGTTGGCGGCGCTGGCAGACTGCAGCTGGTGCTGTTGTGGTCCTCTCCACACTTAACGCACCGTTCAGCGAGACGGCAGTTCCGCTGTGTGTGCCCGTACCGCTGGCAGCGGTAGCACTGGCTGGGCTCGGAAGACTTTTTCTTCCTCTCGAAGCTGACCGTGAGCATGGCCAGCCTCTGGATCTCTGCAAGCTTTTCCGGCATCTTCGTCTTGACGAGGAAGAGCGGAAGTGGCTTCTTTGTGGTCCTTGAGGTCAGCTGCTGAACCACGGCGTCTGCGATGCCTTGGCTCACCAGATCCTCTTTGATGTCATTGACTGACATCTCTCTCGGAAGCCCACGAATGACCCTCTGGTCCATCCTGTCCTCCTTCAGTTGATATGTGAAGAAGGGCCGCTTGATGGATTCAAGCAGTGCGACTAGCTGACGGTAGTCAGCTGGTGTATTTGTGAATACCTTCACACTGGTACCCGCCGTCCTCGCTTTGGAGAATTGAATCCCCTTGCTGTTCATCATCCTACTCAAGGATGACCAATCAGCGGTGCCCTCGATGTTGATTGGCGGAACTCCTGTTCCTGCCATGGGGGCCTCGGTGGTCCTGGTTGCTCTAGGACCACTCTTCTTTGTGGCAGCTGGCATCTTTCGCTGCCTGGGTTCTTCTTCTTCTTCTTCGGAGGAAACTCGCACCCGCTTCCTCCGTCTGGTGGCGACACTGAAGTCGGTGTCGTCCGTCCTCTTCTCGGCTTCTTCTTCCTTCGGTCCTTCGGTCTGTTGAGTGCCCTCTTCTTGGGCGTCCATCTCGTCCGATGTCGCCTGGTGGTCCTCTTCCTCCTCTTCTCCTGTCTTCTTTGCGGCCTTCTTCTTGGCCCTGCGGAGCTTCCCGCTCAGGTCTTCAATCTCCTGTCTGGCCTGCAAGAATGCTTCTTGCAGGTTTCGCATCTGTCTGTCCCATCTCCCGGCCGCCGAGTTATATATAGTCTCAATTACCGCTGCGAGAAAGACCACGAAGCGACATCTAGAATGTTGGAGATCACTTCGCGTCGATCTAGAAGGCGATCCACCGTCACGGTCCTCAGACGGCGGCCAGGCGGCTTGTGCGCCGTGGTTCGCGTAAAAGCAGAGATCGGCATTTAGGCTCTGGCGAGTAGGAGACTCGCCAACAGATGGCGCTATTCGTCACACTGCCCCCTACCTAAAGTCATTCCGTCACGGAATGATCTTACTGGCGGTGGATGTCGATATCGGCACGACGGCCCTCTCTTGCAGTAGGAGTTCTTGAAGAAGTAACAATCCACACTGTTTCCAGGAGATAGCAGTCTAGGATTGTGACAACATACCAGAAATCGAATGCCTGTATACCGGAAGACTACCTGAAGCATGTTTCGAATGATTCTCCAGTCCAGGTTGTCCAGTCCACATACCAACTTAGGTATTGCCAGTTTTCTCAGATTCTCGGCAAGCAAGACTTCTCTAAGCGAACACAAAGCGTTCCACACATCTTCATAATTCGGTTTCTGATACGAAGCTTTCTTGCTAACCAGATAGAAGATCTTTCGGTTGGTACCCTCTTCAATTATCTGGATTACTTCTCCGACCTCCGGGTTAGATTGCCGCAGCTCGTGCACTCTTCCAAACTTCGTAAGAAATACCTTTGCTATACCTCTCGACATTCACAAGTCGTGAGCCACATAGTGTGCCAGGGCATACTCTGGTGAAGTGGTAAACAGATCCTGCTGTCACGCCATGCCGACTCTTCTGGCCATTAGCATGGTGAGCCATAAATTGGTCAAATGTCATGTCCAATTCTGGTTGGATCTGCCGCACCGCCGCATCTTCGTTGTTTCCATGACAAAGTGCAAAGCGGTTGAAATGTACAATTCGGGCTTTACCGCGTGGTGCCTTGTGAATCCTGTAGAGAACATCGTTAATGGCTTCGAGAACTTTATTTGGCCATCCCAGGATGATTGTAGTTTAGGCGACAGCACTTTGCGCCTCTGGGTCGTAAAGCCAAACCGTATCACCGTTCTCATGCCCCTGGTCTTTGGCATTAACGTCGAAAGCTTATTTCATCCGGTCGCTGGCACCTTGAATTGAAACACGAAGCTGGCTAGGGATGGCGTCCATTCTTCTACGCATCTCACTTATGTAGTCATCTCCGGCAAAGTCAGTTCCTGGTGGACAGCCAAACTTTAGATCGCATGGGAGACGAAGTTCTTTTCCCATAACTATTCTAGCCGGGGTCTCTCCTGTGCTTTCATGAATCGACGATCGGTAAGCCAATAAGAAGAGGTGAAGAAAACTATCCCAGTCTCTTTGATGGCTTGAGACTACCTTAGCCAGATACCGGTTAATGGTCCTATTCATGCGCTCCACCATTCCATCTGACTGCGGGTGTAAGGCAGTAGACCCGGTCTTCTTAATCCCAAGAATTTGACAGATACTTTGGAACAAATTCGACTCGAAATTGCGCCCTTGGTCCGAATGCAACCCTAAAGGTACACCAAATCGACACATCCATTCCTTTACCAAAGAGTCGGCTACCGTAGAGGCTTCCTGATTTCCACTTGCTGAAGTAATCAATTACCACAATGATGTACTTAGTCCCTGCTTCACTTTCTGGAAATGGTCCCGTCACATCAATAGCAATCCTTTCAAATGGGCTCCCACGTTGTACTGGCCCATCGAAGCTTGTGGTTTCCTTTGCGGTCCATTACTTGCCGCACACACAACGCATTTACTGCACCAGTCTTCCACGTCCTCCTTGCTATTGACCCAGTAAAATCTTTGCCTCACTTTTCCCAGGGTTTTTGTAACTCCGGGATGACCTCCTGACATACCGGAATGGATTTCTTCTAGCAGCTCCGGGATCCGACTTCTGGGGATAACGATTTGTCTTCTTTCCTCTTTGCCAGCGTGGTCCAACATTTTACGCAGTAAGAGTCCTTCGTCCATAACGAGAGAATTCCATTGTGCCCACTATGATTTTATGGTAGGGGAATACTTGGCAACTTCTTCCCAGGCTGGTTTCCGTTGTTCTTTCATCCAGTTCAGAATTATTCGAAGAGCGGGATCTCCCTCTTGGTCTTTAATGAGATCTTCATTTTTCCAGGTATCACTAACGATAGTGGTTCTCAATACTTGGGCATCTTTTTCCTCTGCCCGCTGGTAATGCTGACCATCCTCTAAGCAGCGTCTCCTAACGTGCCCTATTTTCCCACATTTCCAACATTCTAACTTGCTGCTCTGGCGACGTCGATCACCATCAAGTTCCTTATTAATGCGCTTGACGGACTCTTCGAACTCATTATCTCCTGGTACCATCTGCCGGACTCGCTCCTGGCATATATTTGTGTTTTTAGCGGCTTCGAATTCTAAGGCCCCAGTTAGAGCATCTACTAGCTTAGGAGGATGTGCTAGTAGTAAGGCTTGCCTCATTTCACCATCACGAAGTCCATCCAGGAATGCCTGAACTGCCAATCGCTCCATTATCCTTTCCTGAACATCACATACCAACCGCGCAATGTCTGCTTCGAACTCTTGCAAGGACTCGCCTGACTTCTGGAACCGATTCTTTAGTTGAGTATGATAGACTTGTTCTAAATGTGACTGGCCATATCGGATCGCAGATGACCAGCTGACTCAACAGAAGCTCCAACCTCACTTGATTTTTCCAACGGAAGTCCACGCTGTCGTTCGTCCATGGTCTTGACGTCTAAAGCGGCAAACTTGCCTTGCACTTCTTGAATTCTGTCCTTCAAAGTTTCTAAAATCCGTATTTCCAACTCGCAAGATTTTTCCATAATTTTATCTTCCAATTCTTTTTTATTGGTAGTATTTTCCAAAAACTTGTCTTCTAATTTGGCTGTACTTTCGTGTAACTCCAAGAGTATTCCTTCTAGGTTGGTACAATTTTCCACGAGGATATTTTCTAACTTGGAGTTTTCTAAGAGATCGGCACAATTTTCCAGGAGCTTGTTTTCTAACTTGGTCGAAAGATTTTGCAGCATTAAACTTAGATCCCCTGCACCGGTAAAAATGAAAATATCCGGGTCCTCACCTTCCTCAATCTTGACGAAGCTGCTCCTGCAATTCCGCTTTCTATCCAGCCGTATCGCACTCTCTTTCCTCGACCTCTCTCTTTAAATCGGCAATTTTCAAATCAACCAATCGCGCCATTCTTCCTTCACTGATCGTCCGACTTATTTTCACTAAATGTCCTAAAATCCACACCCCACACCTGACACCAATGTAGCGTTTTTCTGGGTTCTTTTGGGTGTGGATTAAAACACCAGATTCCAAAAAAGAAATGCACTAATTTATTTAACTAGATAAAACATTTATATGCACCACTATTTATGTCTAATTCTTATGTCGCGCCACTGACTGGACACTTCACTCTGCTCTACTCTACCGTATTCCGTACTCTGCCCCATCTCGCGGTCGCCGAGTTATATATAATCTCAATTACCGCTGCGAGAAAGACCACGAAGCGACATCTAGAATGTTGGAGATCACTTCGCGTCGATCTAGAAGGCGATCCACCGTCACGGTCCTCACAGACGCCGCCAGGCGGCTTGTGAGCCGTGGTGCGCGTAAAAGCAGAGATCGGCATTTAGGCCCGTATCGTCAGTCGTCTCTTCAATTGTAGGGCGCGTTTATGGCCTCCTTGATTGTCATCCTCCTTTCTCTCCTTCAAAAATTTCTATATTACACTTGTCCCCTGTCAGCGTCAGCGCTCTCCTATTGTGAAGATATGTTTTCTTTTTATATTGTAGGAAATTTCAGGCTGATAAAACATGATATAACTCAAAAGCAAGCACAATTTGATGCAAATAGATGTTTGTGACATAACCTCAAAATAGAGTTCTGATACGGAGAAGCAGAAAACTATGACAATCAAGGAGGCCATAAAGGCGCCCTACAATTGTAGGGACGACTGACGATACGGGCCTTAGGCTCTGGAGAGTAGGAGACTCGCCCAACAGATGGCGCTATTCGTCACACTATATTGAATTCATTTAAATCACAGAGCTGCTGCACTACACGTGAATATGTACAGCCCTATATTCCTGTACTTGTTTCGTACAAACATACATTATCAAAATAATTGCGATCTCACAGATAGTTTTTTACAATGATTTCCAACATTTTTACATGCGATCAATACCGGTTCGAAAACTGAGAAAACAATAACTATGCCGTAAATCTATGTTCGACAACGAACGTCCGAAAAAACCGCAACCCCTATCCAGTATACAACTTCCAGTATACAACTTCTTCTCGTTCAAGTGATTGTACACGCGTTAAGGAATACCTCAGCACTAATTGCCGGGTGGCGGTACAAGTCCGCCAACGGGCCACGTTAGATCTATTTCATATCATTAACACGCAAAAATAAGGTGGTAGACAAGGACCAGTCGACCGAGGCGGTACCACCCGCTAGCTTTTTCCAACGTGTCGTATAAATGTCCGCATGTTTCCACACCTAAGTTATGCAGCGGTTATCTTCCAAAACAAAGAAATTAAAGATGGTGGATCCCTCGAGTACTAAGAATTCCGGATGTAAACTCACTCCATTCTCAGAATGGACGGGTGGAGGGTGGACTCGAGGGAACATCGGAGATAAAATTTGTTTCGCGAACATCTGCGGGATTAACAGCAACATTGATGCTGTACATCACTACTTGCAATCCAATCGTCCCGCCATGCTTTTCTTGGCGGGGACAAAAATCTCAGAGTCCGCACTGATTAACCATTCTTAGCTTCCCAAATTACGAGGTGCACTCCAATCTGAGAAAGAACGGGGGAGTTGTGGTCTTTGTCCGCAGCAGTCTTTCCTGCTGCAGAGATATTTCTCCGCAATCAGACCGGAAGAACATTCTGTGGCTGCGCCTCAACCCCAAAACTTCCCTCAAATTTATTTGCTGCCTTTATCGCTCTCCCTCGGACCATAACTGGGATAACCTTCTTGAATACCTCGCCGTCAAGATCGACTTCCTGAACATCGATCACCCCGCTTCAGAGGTAGTTCTCCTCGGTGATTTCAATGACCATAATTTGCTTTGGTTGGGCTCAAACAACACCGATGCAGACAGTAGCCTGCTGGATCTCTATCTGACCACGCATCCTGTCCCTTACAGCACTGCTGTCCTGTCCCCCCTGGGTAGCTCGGTGTTGTGGAGGTTAGGTTTCGGTCAGAACCCTCTGTGGCATCAGAAACTCGCACAGGCCGCAAAATTTGGTTTCACAGACGCGGATGCGTCGGCTGTCTGTTCTTCGATAACCAACATTATCCACGTCGGAATGGAGGAATGCATCCCTCATACAGTGAAAGTGCCTAAACCAGGGTCACAGCGCAATGGCAGTCAATCTTTCTGGACGCTGGCCAAGCAGATTGAAAAGAAACTCTCACACAGCAGCCTTCCACCATTTACGTGCCAACTCCAACATGAACGTCCCCTCCAACGCCCAAGTGTCGTCAATTCACAGGGTTTCCTACACTATGCGGGAAGTAACATTCAGGTATAAGACCGTAAGACGAGTGCTCTTGTCGCTCGACATCAACAAAGCTTCTGGACCGGACTTGCTTCCTGCCATTGTACTGGAGAGGCGTGCAGCGAAGCTTGCTCCAATTCTTTAGCGTCTCTTCCAGAAACCTTATGAATCTGGTACCTTCCCAGAAAACTGGAAATTCGCTCATGTCTAACCTATCCCAAAAAAGGGATCTAAGACCGACCCTTACAACTACAGGCCTATAGCTCTGTATTCTGTTATAAGTAAAGTGATTAAGAGGTGCTTCTGGCCTACCTCGAACGCCACGCTTGATTAGCGACAGGCAGTCTGGTTTCCGGCACCATGGATCCACAGGGGACCTCCTAGCTTACGTCACGCAATTGTGGAGTAAACTAATCCAGTCTTATGGTGAGGCTTATGTCGTTGCTCTTGACATCACGAAAGCGTTCGATCAGTTGTGACACGCAGCCCTTTTAAGCAAACTTCCATCCTATGGCCTCCCAGAAAAGTTTTGCAGATGGGTGGCTGACTTTGTCTTTAACCGCAAGATATCCGTCGTAATTGACGGGTTCTCCTCTTCATCCCACAACGTCAACGGGGGTGATCCCCAGGGATCGGTCTTGGCTTCGACACTGTTCGTCTTACATATCTACGACCCCCTTTCCTGCACGATCGCTGATGACAGCACTCTGCAAGCAGGAATTCAGAGTGTCAGCCGATCTCTGCCGCTGAACTAGCGACGACTTCCTCTCTGACTAGAGACCTGGAGGTTATCACTGCTTAGGGACGCAACAATCTTGTAAAGTTTAATGCTTCCAAAACGCAGTACTGTTCCTTGACGAACAAAAATCGTAAAATCGTCCTAAAGCTTATCCGGATGTATGGCCGAGATCTGCCAAAGAGCCATTCACTTCGACAGGTCGTGTCCATATCACCGAGGACCTGGTCTGGCACGAACTCATCTCGTCAAGAGCAGCAGCTGCTGGGAAAAAGTTAGGCTATTTCTTTAAGGTTCAGAAGTATACTTTATCTGAAGTCACTTGAAACACTGTGAAATACCGGGTGCGTTTTATATATCTATATTTAACACGCTCTGTTGCTGCAAAAATCGCCAAATTTCGCAGCAAATATCCCCCGTATAAGAGATCAAAGGCAGTTTCACCGGTCCACGTGGAGTAAAGCACGCCTATGCGTGGACATAGCCAATGAGAAAGCGTGTATTTCAGAGCTCGGAACAAGAGCAGGTGGCTACTGAAAATTGAAACAGTTTAGCCAGTGCCGTGTAGCGGTGAATAAACGTGTTTTCTTTAGTCTGTCCGTGTTATTTCATAGATTTTATTAGTTTGTGTGTTTTTGACTTTTGAATACTCAGTTTACTTGTTGATTTAATTGTTGTGTTGATTGTTCTTGTGTGTCCTAAATATGGCTCTTTGGAGACCTTGGGAAAATGCTCCAAGCCACGAGGAGATGGTTGATGAACCTGTGAAGGCAGAATTCTTTCATAAAGATTTAGAGGAACAGACCCAAATAGTAATCCTAAATATGTATGATTGTCTCAAAACGAAAATCCAGATTCCTCGCAAAATCAAATTTTAAACAGAATTTGTATCCTGACAAAAATCAGTCGGTCTACCATTTATCGGGTTATAAAAAGGGGAGATGTAGTCAACCATTCCTTCCACAGAAAGCGCATAGGGCAAAAATTAAAAAGAATAGACGTGGGTTTTCAGGAAGATATTCGTCGTATAATATACGGATTTTATAAAGAAAATTTGGTGCCCACGTTGGAAATGATACGGGATAAATTAAAAGATTATCCTGAAGATTTTTATAATTACAAATGCTTAGACTCACTACACTGTATTGTAAAACTGTGTGGTTTTCAATACAAAAAATTAGATAAAAGAATGGTCATTATGGAGTCGTCTCGAATCGTTGAATTGCGCCAAGAATTTTTGCACAAAGTTAAAATCTATAGAGAGCAGAAAAGAAATCTGATTTACCTGGATGATACCCATGATGTTGTGCAGTACGGCTGGGTTGACGACAGCAACAAGTGCATTTTAAATGTACCATGCAACCGTGGAAAACGAATCATTATTCTCCATGCTGGCAGTGAAAATGGATTTATACCTAATGCCTTGCTGTTATCTGCCAAAAATATCAAAGAATCATGTGCCGACTATCATGAGGACATGACCTCCGACTTATTTGAAAAGTGGATAGAGCAGCAGTTAATACCAAACATTTCCCCAAATTCAGTGATTATTATGGACAATGCGCCATATCATTCCCGACAGAAAAACAAAATTCCGAATACAGGCACAAAAAAACAAGACATTATTGATTTTATGAAGGATAAGGGAATGGAAATACCACAAAAATCAACCAAAGCCATATTATTGGATCTTATTAAAAGACAAAAATTTGAAAAAGAGTATGTTGTTGACAATCTGCTTCAGCAAAATGGCCATGAAGTATTACGCCTACCTCCCTATTACTGCATTTTTAACCCGATTGAGTTGGTCTGGGCTGCTTTAAAAAAAAAAGTAAGAAAACATAATCAGACCCCTCAATTAAGTGAATCGCTATTGGCCACAATAAGAGATGCAGTATCTCATATTGCTGCCACAGACCTATGGAAGCAGTGTTCTAGGCATATTATTGAAAAAGAAAATGAATATTGTGTTTTGCCTCCTGTAAATCCCGTTGTAATTCCTCTATAAGATGACTCTAGCGACAGCTCCGAAGGCGAGGATGATATATAAATACCTATAATGTAAGTCTTTATATACCTACCTGCTATGCAAATATTTGCCTATGTCAAACGTTGGAATTCTGTAATTTTTCCATTTCTTA